GACAGCGCCTGGTGCTTAGACGTTGGAGACGGCTGCTTTGCGGGGCCTGTCTACGGAGGAGGTTAAATCTTTGGTGTTCTCCCCGAGGCCGCCTCAGACTCGAGTCAAGCCGGACGGAGCTCTCCGGGTCGAACGGACGGCAGAAGCATTATTCAATTTCCAGAGATGTTTGGAACTTGACAGGCCAATTAGCGATAGAACTGTTGAGGGGCCTTGGAAACTGCGAGACTGGGGCCAACGTTTCCTGCCTGACGGTCGGAGGAATAATAATAATTATAGCGACCTTATGCAGCTGACGCAGGCAAGGCGAAGATGATACTGCCGCTGATTGGACAGCGAGCTTCGCTTCCACGAGATCGTATATTAGAGTTTGGAGGGGGGCACATCCATCATAACACATGGTTAACCGGATCCTTTCGTTCTTTGTTTTTTTTTTTGCTCATGCGGTGCAAAGCAGCGAGCACGGCCGAAGGTCGGTGTCTGCAGAACTGCAGTTGGGACAAAGAAAATTTGCAGGGGTTGTACTCCGTACCAAGTCTGTCAAGATGTATAGAACTTAGATCGCTAGACGTCGAGAATCGAGATTTCCATGATCAACAGCTAGCATTTTAGGACGAATCTGACCCAAGAGCCAGGCCACCGGGCGATGTTTCCAGTCACCTGACAACGCCAAGTGTGAGATTCGCGAAGGGAGCGGCCTTTGCAGCTGGGCAGACTAGTCACTAGGCCGGTTGGAGGCGGAAGCTGACGATCATGGTCGGGATAACCCACGGAAATGACTTACGCAAAGAGTAGCAACCGAAGCTGCACGCTCGAGTATCGGAATACGTAGTCTAGGCAGGGTGAAACAGTCGCAACCATGCCTTGGATGACATGCTACAAGATGTCCATGAACCTGGGCGCGGCCGCGCGATGACTGAGACTCGGCTCTCGGGCTGATGATCTGCCTTTAGTGCGTTCACAGAGCCTGTTTGCTCGTCTCCATCGCCTTTTGCGGTCGGGAGGGCGTATTCTGGCGACAGGTCCACCGCTCCCGGACCCACCATTTTTCGGTTACTTTACTGTTCGCGTTTGTATGGAAAACAACATACAAACCCGAACAACCTCGTCACGAGGCTATGTAGTTGAACTTTGCAGCGGACCGGCCGCAGCAACCTATAATAGACTTAGTTAAATATGCAGGTACATTGCTTTATATAGTAGATACTATATAGATTAATGTACCTGTATATCAAATGGTGTTTTGGGGGGAAACTGCGCAGTATTAATAACCTTAAGGGTGCGGTCGGTGGGCTGCGGCCAATAAGGAGAGAGTATTTAGGCGGGACGCTTTGGCAGAATTCGGACTTAGGTGAATTTGCCAGAGGAGTTCCGGAGTCAACTACCACCATATTCAAATATATATCTTATCGTTAGATATCGACCATTCACTAAAACAGTGAATAACTCCAGAACTTCATGGATTTAGACACTAAAAAGAACTATGTAAACTAACCTAAAGGCACTCTTTTAGTATTTCTACTTTATTTTAATTTTTATTACAATTTCGTGGCGCTACAAGCCTATAAAGTTAGGAGTACAATCATAAAGAAAGCAGCACGTGAGGATCTTGGCCCTCAATTAAATGGAGCTATACTTTATATGGAAAGCCCTATATAAACAAAAGCCACAACAAATCCCGGCACGTATTCCTATACACACCCCAATAAGGTAAGCCCTCCACCTACCAAGAAGCCAAATTCTATACTAATAGGCCTTTAAATAGCCTCATGAATACAGGTACTTCAATTTGTATACAATTCTCTATAGAAAACCAAGTACCAGCACGTCAACGGCCTTACCAACGCGCCGACGGCCTTATTCCTAGCCAAACACCACGCGGATAGACTTCCGAATAGCTTCACAAATACAGGTACTTCAAATTGTATGCGATTCTCTATAGAAAACCAAGTACCAGCACGTCAACGGCCTTACCAACGCGCCAACGGCCTCACCAACGCGTCGACGGCTCTATTCCTAGCCAAACACCACGCGGATAGACCTCCGAATAGCTTCACGAATACAGGTACTTCAAATTGTATGCGATTCTCTATAGAAAACCAAGTA